CGCCACGCTCCCCCTCGCCACGATCCCCCTCGCCACAGTCCCCTGACCTTTCACCTATCCTTCGCCCCCTTTCCCTAATTAAACCCGCTCTCGTCGCCTTTATCTCGTTTTCTGCTGCAAGAATATCTCACTCTCTCTCTTCTTTTCTGTGCCTCTGCAACCGCCCTTTTGGTTTCTTCCCATTGGTGACTCCCGCAATCTTAACACTTATAACCGCCCAGAATTCAGTTTTCGTTTTCAGGTTCGCATTATCCCCATTCTTCCTAAGTCCTGGACTCCTTGTCCTTTTATGTAGTATCTTTGTAGCTGATATGTGTTATTGTGCGACTCTTCCCTTTAATTAGTCCCTTTTTTAACACAATAATTATTTATCTCAATGTCTTATCAGTCTCGTTTCAGTTATTTACAATTTTGTTTACTATAAAGTTTGCTCTGTCGGTCTCGATACCGAGACCTTGGCTCGAAGTGTCGCAGGTTCCAATCCCGCCCCCTGCCATGGAAGTTTGTGTGTGTTTATGTTGTTTGTATGTCCCCTAAGTGTTACCTTAAAAATATATCGCTAGTGACCAGAGCAGTTACAAAGTGACCTTAAATGGCTGTTTTAAATGGCTGTTTTAAATGGCTAAATGGCTGTTTTAAATGGCTAAATCTAATAATCGTAGCTGGAATTATTTACTTTCTCTGTGTGAAAACTGATGTTTCATTGAGTTCATCCGCGTAGATAATTGATATCAATGGCGGTAGAACAATTCGGTAATCAATCGTAGCACAAAACGTTCTGACATTGGACAATTAACTTCAAAGACCTGTGTGCATACTATGTGTGGATTTCGATTACCATCCCTTACTCATTGTGACAACAAATACTCGTTTGAAGACGCGTGTCGCTCACCCCTCGAATACGTGATTCCGTCATACGACCGCCGCCCACACACTGGCGTTGTCCTATTGCATTCGGAATCGGCTTCCAATCTCGTTCTTTTCCTTTTTACATTTAATCTCTGGGAATATAATGTCGCGCACGTCCCACGCCTCCGTATCGACCCGTCCCACTAACAGCGGAATTTACTGGAGGGGGGGGGGAATTCAAAAATATAAATCAGAGGGTGGCGGCGGCGTTGGTGGTAGCTTCAGCGACCGTAAAGCCGCCCCTAAGCCACCCAATCGGCAGGTACAGCGCGCCCACGGCCGCGCCGCCGTCCCTCTCTAACGGTAGCGCGTGGGCATTTCGCGTCGAGCCGCCTGTGAAGTGCTTTATTTTTTTATTTAACGTTGAAACAAAAGTAAGCCCGCCGGTCCGGATGGCCGAGATCGGTAAGGCAGTAGTGCCGTAGCGATCTCGGACCGAAGGATCGCGGGTTCGAGTCCCGTCTCGAGTCCCCCCTCGAGCAAGGTTGTATTGTGTTCGTCCTTTCACACCTCTATCATATCGTGTCATCCTCACAGTTATCATACCGTTACAAGCAATAGTTGTCGCTAATGACCTAGAAGTTGATGCGACCTTAAATTTTGAAAAAAACAAGCGCTTAGGTTCATATCCTGTGAAGTAATTCGTGGTGTAGGGAAATTTGCTACTGAACTGGCATCTCAGACAGCATCTCCTCGTAAACTGTTTGCTCCTGTATTGTCTCCCGACAATTCTCATTGTTTCCATACGTTTATAATGTTTCAGTTAATTTTGTTTTGTGTCCTCTGCCTTCATTATTTCCCTTCAATACTCTTTCCATATTGATTATTTATCTCTCACTTCAGCCTTTTCTTTCTCTGCAGCTTATGATACATTGCCCTTCAATACTTGTTCATTTTGCTGTATTCCTTTCATTCATTTTTATTTTCCCGTATACGTATGTATATACGGAGCATGTAAGTAAATTTATGTAATGTTGCGGAAAATCTATTTCGACGGAAATATACGTATTTTGATCCCCTAATACCGAAAAATGGTTATTTTAAAAACGTTCGTCTATCCGTCTGTGAAAAACACTAGCGCCTAAACCATTCGAAGGATTTTTTTCCAAATTGAAGAAATTCCTGTCCATATGCCTCGAGTCGAAGCTTCGATATTTCGAAAAAAATCGTTAAAAGTTTGGAGTAGTTTACATGAAACTCGACGAACATTTTCTTAAATTTTTAAAAAACGGTTCCAATTTTTTTCTTTAAATTTCTTGTAAAAATAGAACAACATATACTTATAAACGTGACATAGGTCTGATTTTCACAGTTAACTCTGAAATTTCGAAAATTTCAAAATTATGAATTTTTGGTGGCTTCCTTCAATTACAAAATTAGAGACTTTTCCTTGAAATAAAATTTGTTGTTCATAATTAGTTCTTTTATTAAGGTCTTGTATATTTTTGAAAATGTTAGTAATTTTCTCACTACATTGCGTGCAATATTTGCATTTTTTATTCCAGTTTTAGATTCAATCTAACACCTCGTCTTAATCACCTTAAAAAATGTCACAACCCCGTGACATGACGTCAGAATAGGCAACCCGCTCGCCATTGGAACTCTTGGGAATGGGCAATTACTTATATTCAGTCATGTACTATTTAATTCTGATTTAATTATATCCTTTTTGTAATTTTTGTGTTGTGTATCTAAATATTGTTTTTATATCCATTTCGTTTATGTATTGAGCATTATGTTATTTATAGATCATTATTGTACAGACGCTAATAACCTGTTATTGAGCTCGTAAACTCTCATCCACCCCATACATTTTTTTAAAGCAAGAAACATGTTCACTTGAAATTTAAAAAAAATGTTTATGCCAAATAGCACTCCTTTGGATGATTCAATCAGTAGTTGGTACTAGTTGTTTGAAGAAATTGAATATAATTACAAATAAATGTTAGCTTACGGGGTGAGGAGCGTGGTCCATGTAGACTCGTTCCTGTCCCACACAAAAAGATAGGTCACCTTTGCACGTTGTCTACGCGTTGTTTTCAAGTAGATGTGGTGCGGTACTTAACGCGTAGACGCACCTCATGGTTTGAACCCGCGAACTCCGATAAAACAATATGGACAGTATACTCGGATATCTGGTTCTATCCGTCCAGTGAATGTTTTACAAAATTTTGCTATTACGTAACTATTCGTCTCGAATGGTGATATATCTCGCGCAATGAACACGTGGATAATCAATTTGCAATATAATAATAATAATAATAATAATAATAATAATAATAATAATAATAATAAT